ATTTGCCCCAGGAAACTGAGGGCTGATTACAGAGGTGCCAACCACCACCCCCAACCTCTGTGCCCCCACCCCACTGCAGAGGCTGAGAGAGGCAGATGCAGAAGAAAAACTGCAGCCCTGAGCTGAGTACCCAGGTCCGTGGTCCCCTTCACCTTCCAGGTTGAGCTGAGATGGCTGACTGCAGTAGTTCTAACTTGTTTAGTCAAAGGAAATACTCAGATTTATTTTTCTAACATTTTATTTATTGATTTTAGAGAGAAAGAAATAAACATCAATTTATTCCACTTACTTATGCATTCACTGGTTGATTCTTATATGTGCCACGACTGGGGATCAAAACTACAACCTTGGTTTATTGGGATGATGCTCCAACCAACTGAGCTACCTGGCCAACACTGAGATTCATTTGTATAATGATATTGTAAATGTCTACTATGTAGAGTGTCTCAAAATTCAGGCAAAGTTCACTTAGGAATGGTAGAGTTTATTAGAATCAAGATAAGAAAGCTGCTCTCATTCCTCCAACTTCCTCATTTTAATCACAGCTTCTTCAGAGATTTCCTGAAGCTTTGGAGTCTGATAGCAGAAATGGTCACCATTTTATTAAAACTATTGGCCTAGCCCTGGCTGGTGTGGCTTGGCTGGTTGGAGCATCATCCTGTAAAGGAAGAGTTGCTGATTTGATTCTCAGTCAGGGCAACATACCCGGTTTTTGGGTTCAACCCCCCGTTGGGATATGTGTGAGAAGGCAACTGATTGTTCTTCTCTCTCTTTCAAAAGCTGTGAAAAAAAAAGTCTGCTAATGAAGATTAAAAGAAAAAATTTAAACTATTGGCCCAGGGTTTTCTGAATAGTTTTGACTCCCAAGGTCTTTCCTGGCAAAGTCTGTGTTAATGTACCAAATGTTTGTGTCAACTGCTATCCATCCTTTGATATGGGAGAAAAATAGATCTTTCTCAAATAAAAACTTTTTCTCTGAGACAAAACACTAGATATTTTCCTTCTCTTTCATTCCATCTATTTTTGTATAACTCTGCAATGTAATATGAATTTTTTCATATTCCCAACTTCATCAGGGTTAACTAAATGACCAACAGTTTTGGTCTCAAGTTCACCATTGTGAATGTGGTCTATTGGATACTGCCAGATGATTAAAACGCCTGTGTCCCAGGCACTGTAACATTTCTCTCAGGCATTGGGGGAGTACCCAGGCAGTGCTGTTAATAATCAATTCTTGAGACTTCTGGCCAAGATGGAAACATAAGCAGAAACACTTTGCCTCCTCACATAACCAAAAGAAGGACAACAAAAAATGTAAAAACACAGTAACCAGAAACTGCCAGAAAATGGAATTATATGGAAGTCCAACAACCAAGGAATTAAAGGAGAAATATTCACCCAGACTGTAGGAAGGGCAGAGATGGGCAGCTAGGGGCAGAGAGGATGCATGACAAGGCATGACATGGCAGCAGCTGGCAGACCAGGTGGTCCCACATTTGCATGTGGATAAGCCAGAAGGAACAACTATGGAGACAGACCGAGCAATGCAGGGTTCCAGCATGGGAAAAGAAAGCCTCAAAACCTCTGGTTGTAAAAACCTGTGGGGGTTGAGGCAGTAGGAGAAACTCCCAGGCTCACAGGAGAGTTCACTGGAGAGACCCACAGGGTCCTAGAAAATACACAAACCAACCCACCCAAGAATCAGCACCAGAGGGGCCCAATTTGCTTCCGGGTAGCAGAGGAAGTTACTGAGAGCTGGCCAAGGACTGAGCAAGTGGCACTGTTCCCTCTTTTATCCCTCCCCCACAAACAGCACCATAACACGGTGACCTGGATTGCCCCACTCTGGTGAATACTTAAGGCTCTCCCCATTACAATGTAACAGGCATGCTAAGACAAAGAAATGTGTCTCAAATGAAAGAACAGTTCAAAGCTCCAAAAATAGAACTAAGCAAGGAAGAGATAGCCAACCTACCAGATAGAAGGTTCAAAACACTAGTAAGCAGGATGCTCACAGAAATGGTTGAGTATGGTTGCAAAATAGAGGAAGAAGTGAAGGCTATCCAAAATGAAATAAATCAAAATATACAGGGAACCAACAGTGAAGGGAGGGAAACCAGGACTCAAATCAATGGTTTAGACCATTAGGAAGAAGTAAACATTAAACCAGAACAGAATAAAGAAATAAAAATTCAAAAAATTCAAAATTCAAAAAAATGAAGAGAGGCTTAGGAACCTCCAGGACAACCTTGAACATTCCAACAACTGAATAATAGGGAGGAAGAGGAAAAGCAAGAAACTAAAAACTTATTTGAAAAAATAATGAAGGAGAACTTCCCCGATCTGGCAAGGAAATAGACTTGCAGGAACTCCAGGAAGCTCAGAGAGTCTCAAAGTAGGCAGACCCAAGGAAACACACGCCAAGGCACATCATGATTACATTACCCAAGATTAAAGAGAAGGAGAGAATCTTAAAAGAGTCGGGAAAAAAGGAGACGGTTACCAACAAAGGAGTTCCCATAAGACAAGCAGCTGATTTCTCAAAAGAAAACTTACAGGCAAGAAGGTGCTGAAAAGAAGTATTTGAAGTCATGAAAGGCAAGGACCTCCATCTAAGATTACTCTATCCTGCAAAGCAATCATTTAGAATGGAAGAGCAAAAAAAGTGCTTCTCAGATAAGGTCAGGTTAAAGGAGTTCATTATTACCAAGTCCTTATTATATGAAATGTTAAAGGGATTTGTCTAAGAAAAAGATGATCAAAAATATGAACTGTAAAATGACAATAAACTCATAACTATCAATAACTGAACCTATAAAAAAACGAAAACTAAAAAACAACTAGAACAGAAACAGAATCACAGAAATGAAGATCATATGGAGAGTTATCACTGCGAGTGGGGGTAGGGGGTAGAACGAGGGAAAAGGTACAGGGAATAAAAAGCGTAAATGGTAGGTACAAAATAGACGGGGGAGATTAAGAATAGTATGGGAGATTTAATGGAATTCTATGCAGCAGAGAGAAAGAAGGAGCTACTACCTTTTGCAACAACATGGATGGAACTGGAAAGCGTTATGCTGAGTGAAATAGGCCAGGCATTGAAGGACAAATACCATATGATCTCACCTTTGACAGGAAGCTAAAGAATAAAACAAACAAGCAAACAGAATAAAAACAAAGACACTGAAACAGAGAACAAGTGGGCAGCGACCAGAGGGGAGAGGGAAGGGAATTTAAGGGGAAAAAGGGGAAGGGATTTTGAGGAACAAGTATGAAAGACGCAGGGATGAGGACTGGGGGGGGGGGGAATGGGAGGGAGGGGGGAGACCGGGCGGGGGGGGGGGGTGGGATGGGAGAAATAGATAAAAAAATGTACTTGAAAAGTAACTAAATAAAATTTAATTAAAAAAAAAGAATAGTATGGGAAATGGAGAAGCCAAAGAACTTATGTGTATGACCCACGGACATGTTCTTGGGGTGGGACAATGTTGGTGGGAGGGTGGCTGCAGGTCAGAGGGACATAAAAGGGAGAAATAAGCCCTGCCTGGTGTAGCTCAGTGGATTGAGTGCGGGCCTGTGAACCAGACAATCGCGGTTCAATTCCCAGTCAGGGCACATGCCTGGGTTGCAGGAACTAGGCCAGTTCCCAGCAGGGGACACACAAAGGGCAACCATACATTGATGTTTCTCTTCCTCTCTCCTTCCCTTCCCCTCTAAAGATAAATAAATAAAATCTTTTTTAAAAAAGGGAGAAATATGGGATAACTGTAATAGCATAATCAATAAAATATACTTAAAAAGATAATCAGAGTTCTCTCTTATTTCAAGTCTCAAAGTAACTGAAGGTGACAGTTGCCCAATGAAGGCACATTTATGAATGAAAGCATTCAAGGTTGGGTATCCTACTTTTTGTGTTTTCTTATAGATTTCAGTTATAACTTATACATGACATAAACTACTCAACAGTTTCTATTTCTATTCTGTGTCCTTGTAGGGAATATTTGTCAGTGCATGCAATATTTTAAGAAAAATCCTTTCCTTTGTCTGGTATTCAACTTTTATAACATTTTTAGACCTGTAAATACATTCTCCTCTCCCTCCACCAGCATGTGTATTTTTATTCTCCCTCTTATTCCTTCCAAACTGTACCAAAATCTGTTTCCTGACAATTTGAGAACTGAGAATTGTCTGCATGAGGGAAAAAAAGTGAAGACACATGTTATGTTGTAATTTTAGCAGGGAAATATTGCCCAATGACAAAACCAGGGGCTGTCTTGTGATGTTTTCTTTGCTCACACTAACATTTCCTGTTTTGATCTCACTGTCATCTTATTAAAGGCTGTTGAGACTGCCTCCCATTCAGATATGGTGGCTTGCTTTAAATCAGCAGAGTATTGATTTCTAAGGATAAGAACAGCACTGATGACCTTAATTTGGAGAGTGGGGCAGACCACTACATGGGTTGACTGTTGGTTTTAATTCATTGCAAAAACAAAAAGCAGGCAGTCTGTTCAGCTGTGTTTCTGATCTTGAAGTATCCATTCTACTGGGTTAGAAAGTTTGTTCAGACATAAGAACTTACAAAGCACATGCTAACTGCCAGACATGGCTCCAAGCACCAGGAATATAGCGGCAAAAAAGACTAAGCCTCTGCTCTGCTGATTTTGAAAGAGCACTGAACTCAGCCAGGGCACATCAGAGGCTGCAAAACAAGGGGTGGTTTGTCTGCAGGGCCCTTTTGCTTAACTGTGATTGTCTTTAGGTCCAACTAAGCCAATTACTGTCTAGGTAACACTGGAAATCCTTTCATGTTAGAACACACTTCTCCTGCTCCTTGATTTTTGCCTCATATTAGTATATAAACTGCTGACAAAAGTTAAAACTTTTCTGTTTCCTCTCTATGGATTATCTAACCACAAACCTTGGCTTGGGGTTCAGATTAACATCTCATTATGTGATGCACATTATGTTCCGCTTACCAAAGAAGAAAGACAACCAAAGAATATTTCAAAAATTATTTTCACACATGATTATTGTACAATATTACAATGTATTATGTGCAAAATTCCATTTGAAAATCATTTACAAAAGGAAGTACAACACAGTATGTGCTGAAGGTTCTGCATGTATCACAAAAGCTAACAAAGGAACAAGGTACAATGCCAATCAAATTAGATGACTACACATCTTTACACAGTACAATAACATGTTTTAGCAACTACCTGTGGTACACTGATACAAGACTCTCACACTTTGTGTATCCCTAACCAGATTTTACAAAACATAAATTTACTTAATCATACATTCTTAAAATTCAGATGGCCTTTATGGTGCATTTGAAAACTCTTTTCTAAACAGCATCTTATTTAACTCAATGAAAGTCACAGTAGACATTACTTGGTTTCTGTCCCAAATAATCTGAGGCTATTAGTTTTGACTTATGTGGAAAAGAAAAATAAGTGTTATCCTTATTGTTTCTCTCCTCATGGAGTTTTCAAAATTGTTTCTAAGAGCAAATAACACGGAAAAAATTAGCCAAATCTCACTGCATATTTACAATATTCTCAGCATAAAAAATTCCTTCCATCTCCATTTCCCACTTTCTTCAAGGAGTCTGAACCTGCAGACTAACGACTAACTCCTTAGTCCTTTGTTAGAGCCTGTATTTCTCTCTCAATCTTTCTCTACATTCATTACTTTCCTGATCCTCAACATTACTTGGTTAAACACAAGACAGCAAATGTCACTTAGCATGAACAAGGTAACAGTACATCAGATTTCGAAAGGCCAGTGTCAGTAATACATCAGTTTAAGAAATCCAGCAGTCTCTCCCCACAAAGTTGCCAAAACATCCAGTTATAGAAGAGAGACTCGTATAATGCAATACTCTCAAATCCAGCAAGAGATTTCTTTTTGAATATTAAATGTTAAAATCACATGCATAATTACAGAATATTTTAAAGTTACAAAAATATTTTAAAAACCAATCCTGACAGTTTACCTGCAACTGCTATAAAAATTTATGAAATATATAAAAACACAAAGGTTCTTTGCAAATTTTTTTTTTAAAAAGGAAAAATGAAAAAGGTGAAGGAAGCTATCCAAAGAACTCAAAAATACCTGACGCACTGCATCGGCCAACCTTGTCAAACACCTACTGTTGAATTCAAGAGAAGAGCTTGTTGTACCTTAAATGTTTATTCAGCATATATACATACTTGTGACTCCACCTAGAACTTGGCTGCAGGTAGGTAGCAAAGAATTAATTGTAGGACCCTTAGACCATAAAATGCAATTCTCCATCTCTGAAGGAGAATCCTACTGTTTCATGTATCTCAGCTACCTTGCTTGGGCAATGTGGCTAAAGATGTCCTGCCAAGTCAGCCTGTGGATGGCTTAGTCACTGAACTGAGGGGTCTGCAAGGCGGTGACTGCTTTTCAAACACAACCACGTGGAAGCCAGAAGGCTAGGTTCCTCACCCTCCTTTGAAAGCACTGCTGGAAAGTCCCAGGTGTCTTCTATGAATTGGTGGAGTCTCCTTTCCCATTATGGACAATTATACCGTAAGGATCATTCTTGATGCGCTTGTACACAAAGTGGAAGATGTGGGGTTGTGGCCGGCTGTGCAGCTCAGCCTTGATTTTTTGAGGGTAAGTGTCCTCTGCCAGCTGCTGCCATGTTTCGTCAACAAAGAGGAAGAGGCTGTACTCCTCAGGGTCCTCTACTTTAAACTTCTCTGCACAGAGCTGACACACATCCTCGGTGGTCACGTATGGTCTCACAAGGAGGGTCTTGCCCGTGCAGCCACTGTTGACCTCCTGGAATGCGACTCGAAGGTAATTCTGCAGGTGGAAAGAGAGATGTTGGGGCTGAGTGAGAAGGGTGAAATGAGACAGAGCAGTCATAAGTGAGACCGATGAGATGCAAGTGAGAAGTCTATCTTGCAAGCTACTGTAGGCTCTGGCTTCTCAGGATGTATAATGCGAGGACATGAGGACTCCAAGGGCAAGGAAAGAGGCCATGCTAAATTTGGACTGTGGGGAGAGCAACTATATGGACTGAGTGGCTGCATTTTAATTCATTACAAATAGAAGGAACAGGAAATTCATTCAGCTATTCTGATCTTTGAGTGTCCTTCCTAAACCCTGGCTAAGAAATCTTGGTGAAGACTGTGAACTAGATCCAATACTGGGCTTCTTTCCAGCTGGAAAAACAAACTAATCAGAAGAGCCTGAACCAGGAGTCAGTAGGAAGAGACATGTAAAATGTGTGGACCTAAGAGTATATATTGTACTCACTCTGGATGACTTTTCATGAGGCTTAAGCAAGGGCAATAATGTTAGGTTAGACCACAAGATAGTGCCAATATTTGACCATTTTTCACCTCTCCAAATGGCAATGTCATGTGGTTTCATCTAATATAAGTAGCTCTGAGTACAATATGAAAAACGTCAGGACAAAAATGTTGCTTCTTCCAAAGGGCTTTGGAGATGGAGGTAATTAAGTGCAAAGTGGTATTGTAGGGACATTAAAGATGTTTGCAGGCTTGGCACTGTCAATAGTGCCAGGTATATGCCATCATAAAATGCAACAAGCCTTCGATCTCACAGATGCAAAGTCTAAATGAGGTATCAAGGATCCTACACTCATACCAGGCTCTCTGAGATTTTGTGACCTGGATAACATCTTCAGTTTCCTCTTCTCCAGGAGTGGGGTTACCAGATAAAATAGAGAACAACCAGTTATATTTGATTTTTCAGACATAAAAGATGCTCCTCTTCTAAATCTGGAAACCCTACTCAGGAGTGAAGGGAAGTGGTACTCTCTTTCCAGGGTCCCATGTGAGGGTTTACTGGGATGCTAAAAGGGAAATCTCTTTCAAAGGGAAGGTGAGCTCTGCACTGGTAAGAAACTCTGACATTCTTGAATTAGAACTCCTTAGCAAATACACAGGCTCCATTTTAGCCAAGTCTGTCCTCTCCTATCTCTATCCCCCACCCAACACTTGGCCCAAGCACTTGGTATCCAGTTACTCATTGACTTCTCAAGAGACCTTTGTGAAAGAAGTCTACATTCTTTGCATTTTACCAGTGAAGAAATGGAGGCACAGAGAGGCTAAGTAACTTGCCCAAGGCCACACATCTAGTGAGTGGCAGACCCAGCGTTCCAGTGTCTTCACCACTGTGGTGTGCTGCTTCTTCAGCGTGAGGAGACTGTGTGTGCATCTGAGACCCCTGACTTAGGAGTTCCAAGTGGAGTTTTGTGTCTGAGTTTTTGCTTTTACACCCAAATGGACTGTTGACAATTCCCGTTTTGGGTTATATTCTAAGTTGTGCATCTCCTGAGTGAGCAGGGCCTGTGGGAAGGGATGTGGAGAAGGAACGGGGAACTGTGGCCTCTGGGGGGTCACCAGGTTAGAAGCTCCAGCTGGAGGGAGGTTACAGGAGGAAGGGGTTGGTGGTAGGTCAGGAGATGAAAAATGAGCTTTTCTCATTTCTTCTCAGAGGGTGTATAGCCTAGGAGTCTCCTCCTGGGATAGGCAATCACAGTATCCCAAGAGCCTGTGTATGCAAAATCCCTAACACATGGACAGCTCTTCGACAGCCCAAGGGGACAGGGGAGCACACAGTATTCATCTTGCCTTCTAGATTAATGTACCTGGGAAGGAATTTCTGAGACTATTGCTATCTTAGAAAAGAAGTTGATTATCTTGCCTTTGCAGAAGGGCTGACTGTGAACCAAATATACTTTTGACTATTTTCAGAGCACTGAGAAGCAGAAAAGGAAAGGAAGGTGAATCTGAATATGGGCATGGATAAATCTGTCCTTCTTAAAAATTCACCATATGGCACAAAAACCAAAATATAGTCAGGTTTTATAATTTGATTTGAAACTTTTAAAATATGACTCAAAGACATTTGTGGGTTTACTCATAATTTCATCGTCTTATAAGTAAATCAAGTGTTGTTGTGTTCGGTAAAGATTTCTATAGCTCTAATCTGCCTCTCCTTTTTTCAGAAACAAGTTCTTTGGGAATCTCATATTCCTGGGCACCAACTCACAGTCATGGGAAATTCTAGATGGGGACTCAGGCAGGACCTGACTGGCTGCCAGAGCTGATGCTGCCAGTGAGATTCTGGGGTCTTCTGTTTTGGGGCAATAGGAAAAAAAGGAAGGGGAGGGAAGGCATTACTGCACCCCTCCTTCTTCTCAGAGAGACCAGGTCCACTGCGGTGCCTAACACTGCTATTTGCACTCAGTCTTCTGATGAAATAAAGTACCCACCACCTGTGCCAAGAGCTTCCTCCTTGACTTCCTGTCTGCTTAGGTGCTCAGCATCCATGCTGAACATTCTGGAAGAAATCCTGCCTTAATTTGACTTTGTTTCCTTAAGGACAGCAAAACTTGGGCCAAACACACTTTTTTTTTTCTTTTTTAAGTATAAGCAAAACAGAGAAGTGAAACAATAAGGTCAGAGGGTAGTTTAAAAATTATCTCTTCCACTGGATGATCTGACAAAGGGGGAATCTCAGTCCTGAGAGCCAGCTCTGCCTTTATGGAGGACAAGGGAAGCAGCGTGCCTCCCTCTACCCCTTATCACCATCATCAACCACATACCTGAAAGTCATCCACTGAGGGGATGGCCCGGTTGGTGGTTCTCCGTTTGTGCCACTGCCTCAGGGTGTCTCTGGTCTCTGAGCTGAGAAGTCTTGCAGCTTGTTCTTCTTGGAAATTCTTTATCAAAGAAAGTGCCCCATAGGCACTTGTCAAGTAATAGCCTCCTAAAAAGGACAGAAAGAGTGTCCAAGAGTTTCATACTCTGGTGATAAATGAGTGGACTTATAGAGGCTGTACTCTGTATTTTCCCCATTTCTCCCACATGCATTTCCTGTGGGACCACAGAAGAACACATCCAGAGCATGTTCTTCACACCTTCATCAGTCCTTTCATGCAGTCATCCCCATAGATGCCCTGGGGGACCCAGGCCCCTGCCAAGGAGGGGGACCCTGGCAGTCCTGGCCAGCAATGCCCTGTTTTCACTCATGGGATTCCCATTCCAACGGGTGAGACAAACAGAAATCTCTAAATTATTTAAGTGCAAGTGTGAAAATTATTTTGCCAGAAGAGGTCAGGCTTTTTTGTTGAAGCCTGATGGAAGCTGTGAGGCAGATGAAGTGGTAAGGTCAACAGCTCTCGGGCCAGAATCATTTACTTTAGCAACAGGAGTCCACACAACTTTTGGCAATTTCTTTGTTTTTTTATCTTTAAGGAATGAATATTTTCTAAATTTTAAGTAATGTATATGCTTTGAAAGGACTGTACAAATATGACTGTGTTTGCAATAATATGGGTTCCTCAAAATTTCTCCCTGCTTATTCCTTTTCCTACCTTTACTTGGGAACTAAGGTGACACATTTTGGAAAAAGTAATTTACAAGGAAAAGCAAGTAATGTCCCTTTGATGATACATGTAGTAATGATTTCTTATACTTGTAAAATGTTAAGAGACTACAATGTTGTGAGATATACAGAAATGTGTTCACAGTTCTGTCCTCAAGTATAATTTGGTGCCTTCTGAGCAACTCGCAAGCACCGTTCTATAGAACCACAACGGGGGGCGCCCTCAACATTGATTAAAAATTCCCTAATTGGACACCCACATTTTAAATTTAGAGACATTCTTTGTCAAAATAATGTTGAATCTTCACCAGAGCAAAGAGCAGGGGGTGAGTTTATAACAAGGAGAGTCTGAGTACCTGCTCTACAGAAGTTTATAAATTTATTAAAGAAAAGAAACATGGGAAGTTTATTCATGCAGAAATCAGAAGTTAGTTGTAGTTAAATCAGTTTTTTGATGGCCAAAGTATTTAGCTGCTAATATAAGATCCCAAACAACTCTTTCTCTGTTCAACAACTGACAACAGTCAAGATACAATTGATCTACCATCTGAGAAATGGGCAGAGCCCCCTGTAAATCCCAGTGGACACGTAACTTCAGACAGAAACACACCTTTGTGGTCACCAATGGAGATTTGGGGGTTATTTTTTCAATGTCAGCATCAACTAGGCCACTCTAAGTAATATACTTTTTGTGCACACATCACATGTCAGTCTTTTTGTTTAGAGTTATTTGAATAGTTTAACTGCTTACCAGCCAGGAGTAAGTTCCCCAAGGCAGCTTCACATGTGAGTACAAAATTGTGAGTAGCTGATTTTTACTAAATATATGCTCCAAGAACAAATCATCACATGACTAAACATGAAACACAGTAGTACATTTAAATGCTACACAGAATTTTAGGATAACTCAATATTGACTTAAATATTCAAGAAAGGGGTGCTAATATTATAACTGGGACTTGGGGGTACTGTTACAATCAAGTTTGGGAGGTAGGGTGTTTCCTTTGCATGTCAAATTTTAGACTCCATGGCTATGATCTGCTCAGGCCACTAAAGAGAAAATGCAATATGCTGGAAACACGAAGCTGACCACACTTTGGAATATGTGGATGCAATTAGAGGAAGGTTTACATTTCAGCAAAACTAAAGTCCTACCACAAGAGCTGTGTACTTAAAAGGGGTTCTATGATTTTTTCCCATAATAAAACTACCTGCTTAAACAGCAGAAAAGAGATGTGGGCTACTGCCCTGCAAACCAAAGAGGGCCTGGGGCAGGCCTTAGAGGGCTGGGTTGATGTAACTCTCTGCTCAGCAGCTTCTCCCTTCTGGTTTGCGCAGCTTCAGTTCACTGGAGCACAGGCCTGTTCTGTAACCACAGACAATCTGACTGGCTGTCCTGCTCTCCTCAAGACAGCAGCCAAGCAGCCTGAGGCATAGTTAAGTGGAAGTAGGCTTAAGTTTAAGCATGAGCTCACAGGCTGCTCTATATGTTTACTAGCTGGGCCCCTGTGTTTCTCTCAGGCATGATTTCTGGAGGTAAGGACATCAACCTGCTCACCTGTCATCAACAGTGTATAGGACAGTGTCTTCCCTTGGGGAAAGCAGGGAAAGGTGGCATGAAATGCCTGTCTGGATTCCTTGGGTCACAAGATGTAAGCCATATGTTTGTTCTAAGTATACATTGTCAGCAACAAAATGGTAATTTTGAGTGAAACTGGCACGCCCTTTCCCTAAAGTGCCAAGAATTTGACATATTTATTACTAGAATTAAACATGGTTGAAGCTAAAAATAATACCCAGCTGCATAAAAAAATTATAAAAATGATGTAATATATAACAATGATGAGAAGTGTAATAATGATGGCTCATATACTTCTCTTGGTCACTGGACAAATCCATATTCTTTTCCTCCTCCTGTCAAGCCCCAGGGCAGAGCAGGAAAGGAAAGTCTTAGTGCCTCAGGATGTGAATAATAGTGTGGGCAGATAAACAGGTGAGAGGTTGCAGGAATGAAAGAGGCTCATTCACATCTGTCTGGGGTGGGAAGACCGAATGCAAAGATAATCCTCACTAACCCTGAGTGAGCACTAACCCTAGAGAGGTGAAAGCTGCACTTTAGGGGCTTCAAGGAAGAGGGCAGACCTGATAAGAAAGCCCAGCAGTAGGGGACTAAAGAACACGTTCTGGGTGGCAATACATTGAAGTTCCCTTCAGGGAAAGTACAAGTATGACATATCCCTGGAAAATCCTATCAACTCCTGGACCTTTTAACTCAATCCTGGACTAAAACTCACTGGGGAAAGGAAAAAGAAAGGTCTATGAAACAATTCAGAGCTCAGGATCTAGCTGGGCTCTTATAAGGACATATGAAAATGGATGAACAGGATTCATAATGCACAGACCCTGATTTGTTTTCTTTTAAAAAGACACAGAAACTCACAGAAGAGTCCCAGTCATTTCTGCTTTTCAAGGCTGTGTACCATGATGACAAACATCCAAATTATTTCCATGATAAAATGCCTAATCAATGTGTAAGGAGAAGGAATTTCTGCTAGGACAAGTTGGAGTCAGGCAGACACAAGAAGGACAGTCACTTGCCAAGATAAATTGAAAGCAAACCACCCAGATTTTTTCCCACTGCTTAAAAAAAATTAACAACAAGCAGACACTGTTTTTTAAATTAAAAAGAAAAACAATGCTGTTTTCATCTTGAAAACAAACATTGCCTTAAATGATGAAAACAAAAGACAGGCCTTCATTTTTTTCACGTATACAACAGCTAGACATTTATTCTGGCAGTAGAAATATTCTCTAACAAAAGTTTGATTTCAACTTCCTCTTGAAATCAAAGAAACCATTTCTTTTTCAACATAGCATTTATTCCACTGACCATTTTTAAATTGCAATTAACCAATCTTGATAAAGTATAATTATGGAAGAATCACACTTTCTGTGTTTTTCTAATGTTTCCAAATTTCCTACAATAAATATGTATTACTTTTGTAGTTTAAAAAAAGTCAGCAACTTTTAAATTAAAACTGGACTTATGATTTTAATAAAGCTCCCACATAACTGCTTAATGAAAGGAGTTTTATTTTGGGATATATTCCTGGAGTTAGATAGAGGTGGTATATTGCAAAACATTGTAAGTGTACTAAATTCTACTGGATCGTTCATGTTAAAACAGTTGATTTTGTTATGTGAACTTTATCTCAGTAACAAACACCAAAATCCTCCAAAAGCACCCAGTTCTTTCCACCTTTCAGAAAGCACATTACCTTCTCCGTGTAACAGCGAAGGATCTAAGAGCTCCATCATGTACTCGATTTCTGTGTCCAGTTCCAGCATGTCACACTGAGCTATGACATAGGTCAGGACTGGCAGAAAGTCGTCAGCACCATACATCCTCCCTGGGATTAGGAGGGAAGAGGAGAACAGGAATAATTTCACCCACACTTCTTTCTTTCATTTCCTATTTGCTGCTTTTATTAGATAGTGAGGAGTCATCCTGGGCAAATGTGCTATTCTTAAACAGAGGTGGGTGTTTCTGGAATCCTGTGTAGCCCGCGACCCTCCCCACTGCCCATGTCTCAGACCAGGCGTCAGTCACAATTTCAGAATGAGCCTCTAGGAGTCAATGAACACTGGAAAGATTTTTTCCCCACTGTCATGAATTACATCATTATGCAATAGAACACAGTACTTTTAAACAGCTTAACTTTCAGCAAGTAGTATTACAAACTAATTTACAAAGTTATCTGCTTATTATGTTAATCCTTTGTGTCCTGTTTCCTAATACTGTCTGTGCAAGTTAATAACAAACACTGTGACAGGACTGAACTCTAATTAGAAATAAAGGCTGCTCTCTGCTCAAATTGCTCATACGATTGATTTAAATGTGCTAATTCAGTATATGTAGAATAGATACACATGGGTAATGCATGGCAAAAAGATTTTAGTCCTTCTTTCTATTTTTCATTACAGTGGTGATTCTTAGCAGGGGTGAGGAATGATCTTGTCCCCAGGAGAAACTGGCATTGTCTAGAGACATTTTTATTGTTGGGATTAGAGGGTAGGGTGCAAATGGCATCCAGGATTCTGGTAAACTTCCCATAAGGAGAGGATAGCCGCCACAACAAAGAAGTATCTGGTGAAGATGTCATTAGTGCTAAGGTTGAGAAACTGTACTTCAGAAGAACATAATCCTGTGAAGATACTTTCTAGGGTCTTTTATAAATGATTTCATGAACTACAAAAATATATTTTCTATATGTGAAATACACTGGCAAATTTAAGAGGTGATGTTCATCTGCTATCATTGCTAGTGTAAGAGCTCATGTATTGTCTTTCCTCAACAATTTGAATGCATACACTTCTATCTACTCAAGGAGGGGTATTTGAGCCTGTTGTTTTCTCTCAGTTCCTTCTCCATGAAGCAGTTTCACTCAGAGGAAAAGGTACTAGTCATCCAAGGAATTATATGAGGCTCCCTGAAGACCTAGAATAATGCAGGGGTCTATCACTATCTATGAGTCATAGTCAGGATCTATAAGAAGCAGCACAGGGGAAATCCCAGGGCTTATTTCCCAACTTTGTAACTCTTTTGTGAATTCCAATTACATCGCTTCAGCTTGTGGAAAAGAAGGGAGAGCCAGGGAGATGGCTGTAATAAAATTGCGCCATTATTGCATGCTCCAAGTTTCTGACATGCTGTAGACCACTGACACAAACCCTCACTGGCCAAAGTGTAGTAATGATTATTGCTAATATTTCCATTGCACTTGGGGCTATGCAGGCTTTGTCCCATCTAACACCCACCTTATGAAGGAAAGGGTCATATCCAATGACCCATGTAGACACTGCATCTTAGAAGGTAAAGTGTGAGAAGGGTGGCCAAAGTCTCACAGTTAATTAACTCATTTTCAGAGCTAGGATTTAAACTTGGACTCCAGAGACTGAATATGTATTTACTACTCTGCACTAAATCTTTAATAAATTGGTATCACAAAAATCTTGTTGCCCTTGTAAGATTATTTTTTTGGTGCTATTAATCTGTTGCAAGTGACTAACACTTGCATTTTCGAGAGTTGCTTGGTTAAATCAAGAGACTGAAAGGAAGAGCAATTGGGAATCAGAAAGTCTGACTTGTGACTGGCCTAGTCACTGGCCACATCGCTGGCCCTAGTGGGAAATGGCAGCCTCACCTGAGTTGTTCTCCATGACAGTGTAAATAAGCTTGCAGACCCTCAACAGCAGCATGACTTTCTTTTCTGGAGAATACATCTTCTGCATAGTCATGAATTTGACTTTGATTTTCTCCACATCCACAAAATCAGGGGTTGGGGCGAAGACCCCCAGCTCCTGTGGATTCCTCTGCCGCACGAGCTGCAGATTCTCCTTGAGTTGTTTCCATGAGCCGTCGGCCAAGTGGAAGTCTCTCAGCATGGCCTCCACGTGCCCCTTCAGAGGCTTCAAGATGCACTTGTGCATGGCTTTTTCCAACACCACATCTGCCAAAGAAAGTGCAGCTACTGTGACCATTGTCTGAAGAAAGAAGAAATGCAGGTCTGCTTTCTTGGAATGGACATCTATCTGCAACTCTATGCACTGGTTAGAGGACAGACAAGTTGTAACTACACACCCACCTGCCCAAAAAAACTCAGCAGTACTGCCACACTCCAACCTTTCTTCTGTAAAGCCAGGAAGAAAAACATCTTCCCTGATAAATTCTTAGTTTCTCTTGCATACAATCAGTGCAATTAAATATATTTAACTACTTTTATGCCCTCTCCTCCAGAAGCTCAGGCAAATATTTTAGAAGACCTTTTTTAGAACTAGTTCTTCTCCTGATTGAGTTGACAGGTAAGCAAATGTTATTTTCATGAAAGGACTTTCTAATAGCGAGGGTTCAAGATCCCTTAAAATATCTTTCTGAGGAAATACATTAAACTAAATACACGTTATCTTAGATTGGATTCCAGACACAAACATAAATCTTTATTTCATTTTCTGTAAAGGACATTAGTGGGACATTAGATGAGATCTGAATAAAGTCTGCAGATGAGGTAATAGTGTTAACTCTGAATCAGTGTTAATTTTACTGCAGTTTTGTAACAGAGTGTTTCTGATTTTAGGAAATACACACTTAAGGTAAGGACACAGTGTCTGCAACTAACTCTCAAATGGTTCAGGAAAGAGGATGGTGTGTGTGTGTGTGTGTGTGTGTGTGTGTGTATAAACAGAGAGAAAGAATGATACAAATGTGACAAAGTGCTAACATTCTGGGAATGCAGGCAAGAGGAAGACTTAATTTTTTAGTACTATTTTTGCAACTTTTCTTTAAGTAAAATTCTTTAAAAAGATTTTACTAATTAAGTTTTAGAGAGGGGGGAAGGGAAAGAAAAAGAGAGGGAGAGAAACATCAATGTGTGGTGGCCTCTCGCACACCTCCAACAGGGGACCCAGCCCACAACCCAGGCATGTACCCTGACTGGGAATCGAACCAGGGACCCTTTAGTTTGCAGGCTGGCACTCAATCCACTCAGTCACACCAGCCAGGGCTGTAAGTAAAAAATTTTAAAGTATGTTTTTGTTCAGAGTTAGAAACGCCTTTAGGTATGGAAAGCATTATTTCTCCTTCTTTCTTCAGGTAGTTGCCCAATGGAGTAGCTTTCTTGGCTGACAGTGATATGACCAGAATCATAGGTCTGCGGATCCAGACAGAAGATGATGTATGCCTTTTCAATATCAGCTTGTCAATCTCAAATGTTTACACATTCTCATCAAAGCTATCTGGACAGTAACCACACTTAATATCTGAGACTTTAATGCGATTTCATTGTGGAAGTCCATGGATATGCTTACTTATAAGACTGGGAATAGTTGTTATCTCTCTGGCCTTTGAAATTCCTGACACTGGACCAGATCATACTGAATCCAAGTTATCATGTATTATGAGAAGGTCAGGGACAAAAAGAAATCTAAGCCAGATGCACAAACATCAAAAACAACTTTCTGCCCTGGCTGGTGTAGCTCAGTGGATTGAGCACAAGCTGTGAACCAAAGGGTTGCCAGTTCGATTCCCAGTCAGGGCACATGCCTGGGTTGCAGGCCAGGTCCCCAGTGGGGGCCACAGGAGAGGCAACCACACACTGATGTTTCTCTCCCTCTCTCTTTCTACCTCCCTTACCCTCCCTCTAAACAAACAAACACAACTTTCTCATAACCCAAAGGTTAAAGGATGCCAAAAGTTATTGCTGACCCCACAATGATCAGCTTCCCCTGTCCAGGTTTTTCTCTGTTCCTCCATCTCCATATCCTATCCGGGAGATCTGCTTAACTAGAGAGCTTTATTCAACTATAGAAATTCAGGCTGAAGCAAAAAAGGTTATAAAGTAAGAAGAAAAACATTTTTACTTGGCATTTGGCACTGGTTTCCATTGGTTATGTTGTGTTAATAATGTGCAACTCCATAGCATCTTTGACTTTACTTTTTTATTATGATGAAAAATCAATAATAGCAATTAACATTGAGCACTCAGTTGGCTGGGCTGTAAGTGCTTTTTTTCATTATGTCATCTAATTCTTACAATTCTATTATTTTTGCATAATACTCATACTATGGCCATTTTATACGGAGGAAACTGAGGTTGAAAGATGTCTAATCTCTCAGGGGGTCGGGAAAGGCATGGATGTAGTCCAGAAAGACATTTGCCTTTTTAGTCCATTTTTAAAGGCAATTATTTAGAAGTAAGACTGCTCTTTTTGTATTGATTTAAAGACTTTACTCCTAACCCCCTTCTCCAAGTCCTTAATAAACAAAACAACTATTAAAGTCCAAGGGATTTGGTACCCAGTTGGTTTTCTCCAATAAGAAAAACAAGGGAGAGGGCACAATGATTTGCATGAAAAAAAAAGGAATGAAAAATCTTTCAGAATGAGAACTAGTTCAGAAACAAATAAACAAACAAAATAACCCAGAATGATCATGTTTCATATAAATCACTATCTGTTGTTTTTTATTATCTCTGATTGCTTTAAATCCTAGAAACAAAATAGTTCAAACTAAGAACAATGACACCATTTTAGGCGCTTTACATGCACTGACTCTTCAAGTCTCAAACAAGCCCTATGGGGGTCCATTTCATAGATGAAGAAAATGAAATCCAAAGAGATCAGTACCACACACTTAGCAAGAGGGGAAGCCAGAATCCTAACCCAAGAAATCTGGTTATGTGAAGTATATTTATCCACCAAAAAAAAAAACCAATAAAAATACTAGAGAATTGTTTGAGCTACATACAATTTGTAAATTTTAGAAACAAAATGTTAGCTGAATGATCAAAACTGAAAACAAATTTTCTGAAAACATTTATACAGATCCCATCAACTGTCCCCAGAGCTCATCCATAAGGGGAGGTAAAGAGCATGGCAGTGGCTTGAATGCTTCTTGCCTCAATGAGACCTGATGTTGTTATTTGTAAGAACTGTTAATTGTGTTTCCCTCCCAGGCTGTGGGTGATCACTCCCCAATTAGGAATGCAAGACACAGCCTTCTTCCATTTGTCACTCTGACTGACAGCATTGGTTCCAGAAAAGGCCAGAGATCAGACAGGGAGTCATCACGAGGCTGGCCATGCTTACTCAATGCCGTCTAGGGGGAAGTGAGAGCCTGAGAGGTGAAGGTGAAGTCTTAGAAAGCACTAAGAGCATGAGGCCTGGCAGCCAGCCAAACTCTATCTTTCTAAGTGACCTTGGCCAAGTCACTTTGCATCGCTCACCGTCATTGCCTCAAACTTCTAAACTGCTATCAGAATCATTGCCTGTGGAAGGCATGACAGAACCAGCAGTGTGAACCTGACTGATTGCTAAAACAAAACAAAATAATCATAAATATTCTCCAGGGGATTTCAGTAGAAACCAGAACTTAAACAACAGTTCAAAATGTACAGTTTGCAACCTAAAGTTACATGATAAAGATAAATGATGAAGTTAGGTCATATGACCTCTTGGTTTATTAGAGTTCTACCATTCTGATAATTTTTAAAAAGTAAAGAAGTATACAGGGAAGCCCATTACAAGAGATGGGAGCTCAAATTTTGAAATTTAAATATTTATAATCACTGACATTTATTGGGCATCTATTTGTGCAGTTCCTATTCTAAGGGGGCTATGTATATATGACCTCACTAAGTGCTAATACTCATTTCCACCCTTTGGAGTAGGAAGTAGTGCCACCCTCACTATGCACCTGGGCATGGGGCTTAGTAGTCAAATGACCTCCCAGGATGGTGGAGATGAGATGCAAGCCTAGTTGTCCCTACCACAAACAAATCAGGAGATGGCATGATGGGCCTCCCTTGGGAAAAGGCAAAATGATTTTTCTTTATGTGCTAACACATTTTCCTTTGGCTGTATAATTGGATTAAGGATTAGAATCGACACTGTGTGGTGCTCAGTGAGTTCCAAGCACTATTACATACTTTCTGACCCTTCGACTGAGATGAGTACATAATCCCTATTCATCTTAGTTTGTGTTCTCCCAGAAGCTGACCCTAAGACCAGGACTTGCATGTGAATAGTTCATCTGGGAGGTGATCCCAGGAAACACTGGTAGTGGGCTGCTGAGGTGAAACAAGAGGGAAGGCAGCCAAGGTAGCACGTTTTATTAAGCCAGCTATTACTGGAGGCAGTTGGAGCTCATTTTGCTGGGAAGTCCAAGACAGTGTACAGCACACCTCAGGGCTGCCTCACTGGAGGGGAAGCAGCTGGGGCATTTATATACCTGCTCCCTTTGGTCCCTGCTTGAGGGCTGCTCCCAAACATGGGGGAGGGCATTTCCATCCACACTGGTGGCATAAGAAAGTGTCAGGAAAAATTTCACAGATGCTGGCAGTTGGCAATCAAACAGGTAAGTGTCAGTGGAGCAAGCACAACAGTGTCCAGCACGCCATGTTACATGTGAAGAAACTGAGGCACAGATATGTGAAGACATTATGAAGCATACACAGCTCAACAGCAGAGCTGGGTCTTCTGGCCAGCAGTCTAGCCTGAATGCTTTCTCTGAACCACCCACATGCTCCTGCCTCTCAGCCGAGAAACTGATTTTTCCCATCTCAGCACAGCTGAGATGTGACACCCAGGCAGCCAACAGCACTCCCCACACTCTGTCCAAATTGCTCATAAAGCACATCGCTTGGTGTCCTAGTCACTAAGTCCTCACCAAGTCACCTGCTCCTCAGGTCAGCAGTTTTCTACTTTGTGACCTTGAAAGAAGAAGATGACCTTTCTAGGCCTTAGATTCGTCATATGTAAAATGGCACCACTCAGAAGGCATTTATTGGAAGGGTTGGGTGAGAGCTCACAAAATGAGCAGCATGTACACACCTGACACCTACTCCCTGGGCATAAACCATTGACTCCCTCTGTTGCTTTCTGAATGTGTGCTATATGCCCTTGAAAAGGGATACCCAGTTTGGTGTTTCAGGCCTGTTTTTTTTTTTTTTTCTGT